CTTCATATGGTGCTGAGCATGTGAAAAGGGTGCTAAGGGTCGAAATTTCAGGTTATCGTGACCTCGTGGTAGCTAGCCCCTCTGGCTTTCATATCTATAAAAAACTAAGGGTGTCATCAAGAAGTAGGGTACCCATGCTACCCGTAATTTGAGCGGGTATTTAGGTAGCGTTTGCTCCTGAGAACCCGATTGGGTAGTTGGTGTACGGTGTTTTTGCAACGGTGCACGTGAAGAGCACAACTACGTGCTTGCTGTACACTTTCTATGTCGTGCAAGTGCACACTCACTGTACAAATTATGTCAAAAAATACCCCGATATGGTACCCATGCTACCCGGACACAAATACCCGAACTCGTTACCCGGCCAAACCCCTACCCGTCGCAGCCCTACAAAAAAACCAGATGGAAGTCCGCCAACAAAAAATGATGGTGTGGTTGTCTTTAGCCACAGATGTTGGCAAGTTCAAGTTTCAAAATCCAAATTCGTTTTCTCCGCTTCAGTCAACTGCTGCAAAGCGCCCCTTTCATGTGTGCTGCACCATATGTATCTACATTTATTTGCATAACTCACTCAGCCCAAACTGGCGTTTCAAGTCAAAAATCCACATACAAGTACCTCCACACACTCATCCAGATAACAGGGATTCAGTATAACCGTCAGAGGTAGCAATGAATTGCAGTGTGTATTCAGTTGGGCTAAATCAAATGACCGCTTTCACTTTTGAATGCCGCCAATCTTACTTGGTATTGCCAATTTTCTGGCTTCAGAGCCAATGTCTATGCAGTACTTGTGTGTGTGTGTGTGGCTCCTATTAAAGAATAAGCAATCCACTGTTCGTTTGAGACTCAGTTTCCAGCATCCACAGGAACACCTCTACCCTCAAGGATCAAGGCACAGAGCGGCTGCTCCTAAAGTGATATGCCTGCCTGCCATTGCCTCCACAGAATACATTAAAGTATATTTATTGCGTGAGTAGAACCCAAGTGAGAAAAGCACACTCACCACATGAGAAATACTACTACAGCACTGCTCAATGAAATCCACTGAGTCGTGTCACTCAAGTACACGCTGGGCATCACGCAGCCCCAGACCTGCCTACACTGGGCTGCGAAATGCTGCAAGGCCCAAACTCGAGGGACGCGACTGGATTTCATTGAGCAGGAGTGTACATTGTGAGTAGAGTAGAAGTAAGACAACCGCACACAACACATGAGCAACATTAGTAAGACAAACTTACTTGCGTCTGTCCCACCGATCATTGCCGCATCGTAGAATGAAATCGTAGTGGATGTGTCATCGAATGTAACACCTATGGTGGCGTTAGCCATGGACACACCGCCGGGAAGTTTGGCTGTTTTGCTGCACAGCGGGCAGCAGCCACCAGGTATAGGAGCTGTGTAAAGACAAAGCCACACAAACACACACTTACTTATTTACACATGCTCATCACTGAAGCGATGATAGCAAACAAGGTACGTTCGGGCCTGGTTTAAATCTGGCTTTGGAAAATTTATTTTTCATTGCTATCAGGTTCGGCCTCATTTCCTCTGTGCTGCGCAGATGAGTCCATAAAGGATGAAACAGTTCTGTCCGCAGATTGAGTATATTTTAAACATAGCAACTTGTTCTGGGATTACCCATTCAACAGCTTGCAAGGCCGAAAAATTCACCGCCACTAATTTGAGCCTGGTCTACACCACACAGCTGATTGAAGTGGGTTTTTTTCTGGCCAGTGAATCCTTCTTTTTTTTTACACACATACACATGCAGTCTCAGAAACCAGCCACCGAACAAGGCCATTGCAGTCTTGCACCGCCTTTGGTCTCTATCTTTACTAAACCCAGGGTGACCCTGGCACATGCAGAATACTTGATGGCAAGGATAAGTTATCGTCCAGTGGACCAGTTGGTCATTTGATCAGGATTTACTGTATCGTACACTCAGATGTCGCTCAGTACACACTTTGATAAGACATAGTCTGGTTCAGCATGGACCTCGTCCGGAGTACTGTAAATATACAAATTTTCGGCAGCTACTAGTATTTAATTTCGGCTATATTCGGCACCGACCCAAAACGCCTAAATTAAAGCGCCGATGAAATTTTTCACAGCATATGTCGCACTATACCATGCCCTCTACCCCACGCCGAAAATAAATCGCCGCCGAAATGTCAAAAATCGTGAAGTGCCGAAATTTTGCAGCGCCGAAATTTTGTATATTTACAGTACTGGTATAATACCGTATCCATGCAGTATGTTGGGATGAGTAGTACCTGGAATACTAAGTACGCTCTCCTGCTGCCCATGGGGGAGAGGGGGGAGGGGGTACTAGTACACCTTACCAGAGTTTTACTGTACTTGCACACACATACACACTCGCCTTAGTGATACTGCTGATGAGTACAACTGCCCGTATCCCACATGACTGTTGCCAAAGATCTAGCCCATCAACACTCTTCCCTGTGCAGTAATATTCGATACTGCACGGGGAAACTCACAT